AGATTTTCATGGTTTGAGGAGAATCTCTTGGTTCGTAGGGATTTGATTTTGTGAATCAAGAATTAATGAGTATTATGTATGAAACATTTTGCATTTCATGGTGGACATGAATTCGTGGGCATTGTCATACCTTGAAAACAACGAAAATTAACCCCCTGGAAAATTTGTTATTTCACAGTATTGAAATGAGATTTGGTATACAGATTTATAAGGTTAAGTTGTTTTGAGGGTACGATGGAGCCATTTTTGACAGAGTTATGTCCCTTGGACTGAGAAAAATTCCAATTATTTGGGGGAGGGGGGGGGGGGGCGTAAGTGTTTTACAAACATGAGAGAAGAAGAATTTCAAAGAAATAATGCATTTTCACTGTATAATTTATTTAGCCATGCCCTAGCACTAGAACCCCTGACCCTGGGGCCATGAATTTCACAATTTTGGTAGAGGACTCCATGTTGATTACAATCAAGGCAACAGTTTGACTGCTTGATGTCCACGAATAAAGAAGATTTTTAAAGATTGCATTATTTTTAGTGCTTTTGGCCCCACCCTCCAGGCCACAATCCAGAGAGCTCGTGAAATTATAAAGTGGCCTTAAATCATAGAGCTATATAAAAAATTAGTTGAAATTGGTGAAGCGGTTTCAGAGAAAAAGTTGAAAATGTTCAAATGTTGACGAACGACGACGGACAAAAAAAGGATAGCAGTAGGTCAGGTGACCTAAAAAATTGAATGGGTTTATTATGCCCCTCCATAAAATGCCAGAGACCTATATCCTACTGTTCTGTCATTATTGACTTTCCGTTTTTCTCTGCAACAATTGTTAACATTCAACATTTGGATACTAGTAGGCTTGAGAATAGTCAATACATGACACAAATTTGGTCAAAGTTCGTTGTTTTTTGACATTTATCCCGTTTGAACTTGGTGAAAAAACAAGAGGTACTATGAGCAAGAAGCTCACAAAATGATAACTGAGTCTTGACGTTGTAATACAACGTAACAAAAATGTGGTAATTTAGAATTTTCGCTAAATATCCTTTAAGCTGTTAGCTTAAAACCATTGTTTTATATTTAAGTTTGGTTATTGTACATAATGAATTGAATGGACACGTGCAATCCTCTGTCTAAAGTCAGATGAAGTCCGAAGGAGAGGAACGGCCAATGTTTGCAGGTGGGAATTTCCCACTGATGTTGCAGGATATGTGTTAAGATAGTGACAACCAGGTTGTCACTGACTTTTATGTGATGCTGCATTTGTCACCCTCTGCATCGAGCTCCATTTTTTGTTCATATTCCTTTACTTCCTCCAGGTAAGATAATCATTATGGCGGCCATCTATTCTTCCTCGTGGTCTTTGTTGCTTCCTGTCAGCATAGGAAACTGCTTCCTTTTTTCAAAAGCGATGTAGTTGGAGGAAATAAAATGGAGACACCAGTTAGAAAGCTGTTCTGCGTTATGGAGCTACAACACGATATACATGTACATGTAATACATATAAATTAGTTTATATATCCAAATATTACTTGGTCATAGATCTATATAAACCCCCTCTAAGAAATTATAGTCATCATCAATTCACTCGCGTGCCGCAGTGGTTAGCGCGGTTGCTCTAGAGTCGCGAAGTAAGGAGTTGATCCTTACGTTGCGGGTTCGAATACCACTGTGGGACGTGGAGACCGCGTTTTTTTTGGAAGAGACCGTATTTAAACCGAGGTCCCGTGTCGCAGTAGGTGCAGGCACGAAAAAGATCCATCCCCGCTAAAAGGACCTAAGTGCCGAGTGTAGGACAAAATTTGCAGGTCTCCACTGGCTGGGGTGGCGTCTCCATATGAGTGAAAAATTCGTGAGAATGACGTTAAACAGCATGTGCATCCAATCAATCAATCAACTCACTTCATGTGTGAGTAAAAAGGAACTCCAGTCGGGAGAAACTTTGTTTTATGTAACTAACAGTTCTGAGATTCCAAGAAACTGAGAAATGGGATGTAATTAACAATCTGATCAATTTACCTGTGATGTGAGTAACAGTCCCATGACGTCAATGTCTGACTTCTCGATTTGTTTAGTGACGTTGCGATCTACTTCTTTTGTTACGTAAAGTTCACATAAATTTATTAGTCGTTTTAGACAATATTCGGCCGCTAAAATTAATTCCAACGGAGTCGCCGTCTTCAATTGGGACGGAATCTGTGTACCTCTAGGTATTGTAAAAGAGCCAGGAAACACTCTGACGTCACTTCCTGTAGTTTTACTTCAGATACAGTGCTAAGACTTTCCACAAAACTTCCCCTAAACATGGCTGACATTACTTCACATCTGGCTGCGAGAACAACTTTATTGGCGAAAATGGTAGTCCCTGGAAAAGAAATTAAATCAATGCTTACAGACTTAAAAATAAATAACGAATAAAAAATATCTTTATTTACATTTTCTAGTCAACCATATTAAAATTTGTATTACCTTCAACATGAAATATGACGTCAGCATAATCAGGGTTATTCAAAAACAAATCTTTCATTTTCTTTCCTGTTTCGTTATTGAGATACGTCCCTATGCTCGGGTTCAGAAACTCCTGTTCTGTGAGACAGTTCTCACACATTGTTTGGAGTTGACCTAACCCGAACATTTTAGCTACTCTGCTCAAGTCATTGATTTCCTCTTCAATATCAGTTATGTCTTTTGGCTTTGGCGATCCTAATTAAAACGTAAAGTACAAGAGTAGTACGTTCCAACAAAATATGCCAGTATACTTTCTTACTAAACAATGACTTGTAAAATCAAGACGAAGAAGCTCTACATGGTCATCCTTATCTAACTTGTATCAGGAATAGTTCTATTTCTCAATATTTAACGTGTAATTACCAGTGTATAAGAATTTCAAAAACGTTTGTTTTGATTCCATCACAGAGATGTATAGTGGTGTGTTTTGTCCCGACATTCTCCTAAAGCTAGGACCGTTGCTATGCCTTCTACATCCCCGGATGTTAAGTCTTCCATAGTAAAAGCCTCGTCTACTATTTTGCTTAGCTGATTTTTCTAAAAACACATAAAACAATCTGGAACTTTTTATTGAAGCTCTGTGGAAACTTTAATCATGTGTTGCGTCAATCTACTGAAAATATGGAGTTTAAAGAGAATACAAGTATGTACCTGTTTACAATGTGAGTATCTGAAGACTTTCTGAAAGAATTTGGAAGCTGCACACAAAATCAGGCGATGAGCCTCTAGCTTATGGTTACCGTCCAGTATGAAGGTCACGTCCGTGTAGGAGGGGCTCTGTAAAGCTTTCATCCAATCAGAACTAAAGGTCGAGGTCATAATCTCCACCCAAGGGGCCTTCTCTGTAACAACAATCAAGAAGGACTTCAAGAGCGAATCTGCGACAACTGTAGGGCTAAATTTGTTCCATTTTAAGACTTACATATACCGTATTATTCTACTGAAGGACAAAAATTTAAGGAAACTACTCACACTAGGTACAAATATGCTTTTAAAATGGGGATATTTTATTTATTATAATCGGAGAGAGGAAACTGAGTGAGGACTTGAATACTTTGGGTGTCACTTTTTTAGGACTTATTCGCCGGCAGGTGGCGCGACCGGTGCTGTATCGTAAGACTTTTTATTTTTATACCAGCCGGAGGAATGACAGGTGCTATAGGGAGGCGCTTCTTTTTCTTCTTGAAAATTCCTCAAAATAAGCCCGAAGATTTTAACAGTTTCCTTTCTTTATTATCCACAGCTCGCTTTATCTATCTCAAAATATATAATCAATCAGCAAAAATTAATTCAAACTTGGACATCTTTCACTGGGTAAAACAGAGTCGAAGAACTAGCATGAAGACTCACCGCTGCAGAAAAACACTCCTCAAGTCCTCTCCGATGAAGAGAACTTGTTTCACAGAATGAGGCGCCAAGACGTTTAGCCATGTTCTTTCCCTCTTCTGTCGTGATAAGATCACCTCTAGAACTGCTTGGCCGCAGATCTACAAATAAGGAGAAAACTCACAGCTTAAACATAACTATAGCACTGCTATCTTATTTCATTACCATAGCTGACTAGTAATTAGTATTGAACAGGGATATATGTTTAGCAATCTAAGATAGCTGGGTTCATTATGAATTATCTTCCTAAAACATGTCAAACAAGTAATGGTAACGATTGTTCCTACAGAAATAATTTATTTTTGTTTATTGGAATGTTTATTCACTGGAAACATGCATATTATTATGGAGATCTTGACTGAGAACCTTTTTATGCAACACCAGAAGCAAGTGTCAGAGTTAACAATTCTCTTGTCTTGCTGACAGTCATATAAGCTGAAACATGATTTTAAAAAAAATACAAAAACATGTGTAGCTCAAGTTCACAATTTTTGTTAGCAGGCATGCATTTTATTTTACAAATAACTTAAAATAATGAGAGAATTTACCTATTTTACAAGCGACAACACTATTGGTAAATCAGAACAATGATAGCGGGCATCGTGTATCCACTTGTCCTCTGTGCTCTCAAACGATGGTCTGTAGTCGATACAGTAACACAGGAGAAAGACATCAGTTAAATGGTACACTATAAAGCGTAGTCTTTCATACCCTTCCTATCGAAAAACATGAGAAAGATACGCTAATTAGCTTACTCTGTCATACCCATCCTATAAAAACACAGGAGAAAGACATCAGTGATGAAGTACGGTAATATTAGCGTTGTCTGTCATACCTGTCCTATAAAAACACAGGAGAAAGACATCAGTGATAAAGTACGCTAATTAGCGTTGTCTGCCATACCCGTCCTATAAAAACACAGGAGAAAAGACATCAGTGATAAAGTACGCTAATTAGCTTACTCTGTCATACCCATCCTATAAAAACACAGGAAAAATACATCATTGATAAAGTACGCTAATTAGCTTGCTCTGTCATACCAATCCTATAAAAACACAGGAGAAAAGACATCAGTGATAAAGTACGCTAATTAGCTTACTCTGTCATACCCATCCTATAAAAACACAAGAGAAAAGACATCAGTGATAAAGTACGCTAATTAGCTTACTCTGTCATACTCATCCTATAAAAACACAGGAGAAAAGACATCAGTGATAAAGTACGCTAATTAGCGTTGTCTGTCATACCCGTCCTATAAAAACACAGGAGAAAGACATCAGTGATAAAGTACTCTAATTAGCGTTATCTGCCATACCCGTCCTATAAAAACACAGGAGAAAGACATCAGTTATAAAGTACGCTAATTAGCGTAGTCAGTCATACCCTTCTTATCAACCTACAGGATCGAGAAATATATCAGTTATAAGGAACGCAAAATAGTGTATTTTGTGAGACCCATCCCTTAAAAAACACTAGCACTAAATACCAGCTATTAGGGCATTATTTTCACACTGCGGCGAATTCGGGCGGTCGACAGGGGATGCTTACTCCTCCATGTCATTTGATTCCAATTGTATATTTTGAGCTTGATTTCGGTTCGTTATCTATAATATTTTCATTACAAGGTATGCAAGAAAGCATAGTCTGTCATGAATACCCTTCCAACCAATAAACAGGAGAGAGAGAGAGAGAGAGAGTTATAAGGTACACAGGAAATCGTAGTCTGTCCAATTTAAGGTTAATTAAGATAAATGTGCGTGTGCACCTTGATACATCTTGTTTGTGAGTAAATGAAAGTTTTGCATGTGAGACTAATTTAAAAGCATAAGATAAATCCGGCCAGCCGTTTTCTATATAACTTCTCTAAAGAGTAGTTTATTGGTTAGTGAATTTCACAAGTGTGTCACATATACTCCACTCAATTTTTGATATTGGCTTTTGTTTTAAATATTTACCAGCAGAATCTTTATATGGATGAAATACATGAAGGCAACTAACAGTATTCAAGCTCAAAAGCCCATTAAACATTACAAATCAGGAGCAGAGAAAACACGGACTTCTTATACATCAAAGGTAGGATCAGGTGCCATGGAGGAGTAAACAACTCACGCCGTGTGCTTCCTTCCAGCTTTCAGTGTGTTGTAAATATACAGTAGCCTAACAATTTGTATGTAAAGCGATTTGACTCAATTGCAGATTGTATTTGCCGACAGCGTCAATGTATCGACGGTAGAACATATAAAATCATGGAAATGATGACTTGAAACGAGAATGGTTGTATAGTCTCTATTTTCATCAACTTTGGTAAAAACTTTCCTCGCACGGTTTAAGAAATTGTTCAAACGTGTTAATTTAGCATCCCCTTGAGTTTTGAATCAACTGAGAGATATAATTAAGCCTCGTATGCAGACGATAACTTATAACGGCTATATAATTGCAGCATAAGGTAGGGAAGTTGACGATTGAACAGATACATTTCATACCAATTCATACATATACTAAACAGTCAATGGATGGAAATCACTCATATGCTCAGCCGTGTCAAAGAGTGACACACTGTATGGTTTCCCTTCTACTGTAAAAGTAAAGGTGTGATTGTCAAACACCGTGGGGACGGATTCCGAGTGGAAAACACCAGTGGCGTACGTATAGTGAGGAGAGAGGTCTTCCCCACATTCCCATCCCCACCACAACCAGTTTAATGTCACCCATGGCGGGAAAATTCTACCAAAAAACAATTATAATAATTATAAATTTTATAAAAGTTTTAGCATTACAAAATTTTGGTATTTCTCAGTAGAATTACATGATTCCGGTATTTCTTCGTAATCCTTTTGCCAATTAAAAGCATACGTATTAATTAAACGTTGTTAGATTAATGTCCATCACAAAATGTCTTACATTTTAAATATTTTATTGAGCAGTCCACAACAAATAATATTTGGACGGGCGGGAGATGTTGGACAGGTACATCATCTTTTTACTCTCCAGATTTATTTTGACATTCTCTAATTTTTTCTGAATTTTTCTGCATGTACTGTGATGCGGGTTGGAGTTGCAAGCTATATTTGCCTTTCAACTGTCGCAAGGGTTCGTTGGGACTCGACTGAAAAACAATATACATGTACATATAGCTATTTAATTTTCGACCAAGCCTATCTTTTTGATGCTATTATTCTGAGAAATTTATGGATATATTCCTTTAAGAAATAAGTATACCTGAAATCTTGTCGTCCCTGCTTTGATGAATATGTCAACAATAACTTATGGTAAACATCCGCTTCGATTATATTTATAACATTGCGAAATATAGAAATATATTTACTGACCAATCGGTATGCGAGATATATTTAAATAGTAAATACACAAATGCACAGGGTGGATCAAGAAATTCTCGGGTAAATTGCAGTTCTATAATTCAGCAATTTGTATTTGGTAGGATACTAGGAGTCATAAAATTCAATTAAAAATTGTAGTCTTTTTTCTTTGTATTGTTTTCAGCATACCTTATAGACTAGCCTTGTAGACTAAGATGTGACCAGTAAATTCAAAGATGGTACATGTATTAATCAGCCTTGTCTGCTGTATCCTTTACAAACTGTTCATGTAGTCTTTCCGATTTATAAAATTATCACCTCCGATTAGAAGTAATGCTTCATATTTCGCCCAAAACTTTGTGATATAATTAATGGAGCTCCATTCCGACAAAATATTAAGGTCTTTCCTTTCATAGTCACTTACTTATAATTACTTAATTAGGCCTGTTGTTTCGTGAGGAACTTAGGTTGTCGACAACAGTTTTCCAACAAGCTCGTTTCTGCGCTGCTGTCACTGCATCCTGCCAAGTCATGTCATATACCTTTAGTTCTGACTCCGAGTCACGCTGCCAGGTGTTTCTTGGACGCCCCTCTTTAATTCTTTTGCCCCGCGGGTTCCAAATCAGGCCTGAATGCCTGGCGTGTGATGCTAGATGATGACTTCCCTAGCGTGTGTACAATCCAATTCAATTTGGTTCCTGTCCTGCTCTCTTCAATGGTTCTTTAGTGGAGGCCCTTTCATGCCATCGGATGTTTAAGATGCGCCTGAAACTGGTGTTGTAAAATGTCTTCTGCAGGGTTGCTTTTATCAACTTTCACGTCTCTGCATCATAAAAGGGGGGGGGGGCTTCTTAACATTACGACTGAACATCTGCAGTTCGGTTATAATGCAGATGTGAGGCCCATATGTTCTTTAGCATGGTGAATGCAGTTTTCGCCTTGCCTATTCTTACTTGAAGTCAACGTTTGTGCAATCTTGTCTGTCCAGCACACTACCCAGAAAGATGAAGTTCTCTGATGGGCTCGCCACAAACTGAGACAAGTTTTTGGGCAGTGGTGTTTTTTTTCACCAATTCTGTTTTCTTCAAGTTGATTTTGAGTTCTGCTCCTTCTGACGTTGTTGTGTTGCAAGGCGAGTTGTTTATCCTGCATCTGACTGTGGTTGTGTAAAAGAAGTCATGCCATCGACAAAGTTTAGATCGTCAAGTTGCATTCGGAAGTGTCCAC